AGGTGTCCTCCCCCCCCCAGCCGCAGCCCTTCTCCCTGCCCGCCGGGGCTGAGCGCGTTGGCCATTGGAGGAAACTACCCGTCAATCACCGGCAGGGGCGGGCTCTTGAGACCCCCTCCCCCAGCTGCGGCAGCGGAGGCAGCAATCTGATGACTGGAAAGGGAAGCCAGAGATGCGGTCGGGTGGCCCTTGGAGTCACTTCGGGAGGGGCAGGCTACCCCTGCGGTGTCCACCAGATCCTCTGTGCCGGTTTCTTGGTGTTCCTGCGATATTCGCCGTCCAAGGGCTTGGGCTTCGGGGTTCCGGACGCATCACACAACCCCCTCTGCACCTAGGCCACCGTTAGCTGCGCGAGATAGAGGAACTGCCAGTTACCTTTGTGAAAAAACCTTTGTTGCAAAAATCATCCTTAGGCCCTCAAAGTTGTTGCTGTTGTCTATCTCCGTAATATTTAGCGCGCATTGGCGCTAGAAGGAAGATTAGTTGGCACGCAACTTTTCTGATAATACTAAATTCACTCATTACTTTACAGAATTAAAAATAGCTGTTGAGGTTATTAAAATATGATCTTACGTCTTGGCATTATGAAATACTAAAAGTACTTCATAAAACAAGAACATGACAGTGCAATTTTTCATTTATCTGTGGCCTTCGGAAATAATCTTGAAATGGGTAGTGTATACTTAGTTCTGAAGGAAAGTCATTTATTGAAATTAGCTTAAATGGGCTTGTAGTTGATACTTTTATATCTTTTTCCTCCGCTTTTTGTCATGTTCCCATTACCCTGAGTTGGTCTTGTCTCCTTGGCTGGCTAGTAGCCTGCTAGGAGCACAAGTATTGTTGCTTGTGGGAGTGATCGTTTCTGTTTAGCCATAGGATACAAGACTGTTTATCTGCTACCCAGACTAAGAAATCCCCCTTCTTTCCAGACACGTTTTACTTGACCCTATTGTGTGGCTGGAATGACTTGAGGGGGTGGGTATACGTCACTGCACCAGCGGGAGTCTTTCCTTTTTTACCTGTTGATGCATAGGCTTGATGAGCCCTGCATGAACAAACGGTAGTCTTCACTTGAAGCTGTGGAAAACTGTCATAGCCTTTAACAGGTAACTTCCTGCTTTGGGAACTGATTAACCTCGAACCAGTGCCTTTGGACTAGGGATCGTTCTTCAATCCCTCTCCATGTTTGTCACGGAGAAATTTTTGCTTGCTAAGATAACAAGTTGGTATTTGTTTGTTTAGGCCTATAAATTGATATGTTTCATTAATTCTAGCAACATTTTATGCTTTTCAAAAAGATTTTCCCCCCTTCCTCAGTCTTTCGCAGCCTGTGATTTTTGATGTCAGGAGCAAGTACTACTGACATCTAGTGGTGGAAACAGCTTAATCTCCTTCAATGCACAACTGTCCTCCAAAGCAAAGAACTGTCAAACCCCAAATGATAGTTGTGCTGAGTGAGGCTGAGGTTTAGATGCCTCTAAAATCTGCAGCTGTAAGAAGGAAAGTAAACTGTTCCCTGGGCCACTACGAGGGGTCATGCAGGGCATCAACTCCCATTTGTACCCTAGATTCCCAGAACTGTGAGAAATGCAGCAGCCTTTGTTGGTGATTACATACACCCTCAAGACAGGATACCTAGCAAATGCTGGAACAAAGTCTTCAAGAGGTCATTGCACCCTCTCATCATGCCAGATACTTCCTTTTCTCTCTTTTTGTAAAATGTCATAAAAGTTGCCCTTCCATCCATGTTGAACCACACAATGAAGTGCTGTTAGTTACATTCAGACTATTGTGCACCAATCACTATTACCTGTTTCCAGACTTGTCCATCACCTCAAACAGAAGCTGTAACCACTCTTCAGCATTTGGTACCCCTATTTTGCTATAAATTATAATATTCTATAAATACTCTATAAATCAGAATATTCTAGATATTTGTCCTCATGAGTTTTATTTCATTTAGCATACTGGTTTATTTGATGTGTGTGAAGGTTTGAGACAGGGTCTCATGTAGCTCAGGCTGGCCTCAAACTTCCTATGTAGCCAACGCTGACCTTCAACGCTCTCTCTTGTTACTAGATATATTTATTTTATGTGTATGAATTCTTGCTTGAATGCACACCCGGTGCCCTGAGAAGTCAGAAAAGGGCATTGGATCCCTTGGAACTCGGAGTACAGAAGCTTGTAAGCCCCCATGTGGGTACTCGGAATTGAACCTAGGTCCTCTGGGAGAGCACCTAGTGCTCTTCAACTGAGCCCTTTGGGATCGATCTACTGCATATATGTGTAAGCTTTTCTAATCGTTACTCAAGAATACTAATATCTGATGCTTTCCATGTGAATTTTATGCTCCCCCCGTTTGATTTCCTTTGTGCCTGCTTATTTTTCATTCTATTTGGGCATTCAATTTATTTTAAGTTTTTTGAGACAAGTTCTCGCTGTATAGCCCTGGATATCCTGAAACTCACTAAGACCAGTCAGGGCATTTCATTTCATTTCTTTCTTTCTTTTTTTTTCTTTTTCTTTTTTTTTTTTTTTGGTTTTTCGAGACAGGGTTTCTCTGTGTAGTTTTGGAGCTTATCTTGTCACTCGCTCTGGAGACCAGGCTGGCCTCAAACTCAGAGATCCGACTGCCTCTGCCTTCCGAGTGCTGGGATTAAAGGTGTGCGCCACCAACGCCCGGCCTGGCATTTCATTTCTTAAAAATCACATTTATTTTATTTATGGCAAGTGTGGTGGTCAGATGACAACTTTTTGGGAGTTGGTTTTCTTTCAGTCTTGTGGGTTCCAGAGATCAAACACAGGCCATCAGGCATGCTTGGCAGCAAGTGCCTTTATCCATTGAGCCTTCTTACCAGCCCAAATTCTGGAATATTTTGTGTGTGTGTGTGTGTGTGTGTGTGTGTGTGTGTGTGTGAAAATGATTGTATGAGCTAGTATTTTCCTCTAAAGAGGGATATTATTAGTTTTTACCTCCTTAATTTTCTCTCATAATTTTTAATAACCATTGACATACAAAAAAGGTGACTGTCCATATTACTGGGGAGGTAGAATTGTCCTCTGGAAGAGGTCGGACCTAAAATCATTCTCTTCATTTGTGGAGTGGACCATGGTTCATGCTAGGAATCAAATAATCCCTTCAGTTACAGCAGAGTCAGGTTTTTCTGTCGTGGCCCAGAACATAGTTTGAATTTTTCTTTCTATTTACATCCATTAAGCGACTCTCTGTTTTCCAAACACAGTCTATTTTCCTGTCTTTACAGTTCTCCTTGGAACATACATTTAACTCCAATTTCATCCCTTCCTCTGGAAATTATCTCAAGGCTGAGTTCACCCCTTCCGAGCTTTCCCAACCAGCTTGTGGTTCCCCTCTTCCGAATAGCCATTACACTTAGTACTTTCTAATGAACTTGCCTGCTTTAAATATATTTGTGTTTACTCTTCTATTGTAGAGGCCGGCTAAGTTTCTTTGTGTGTATTTAATTTTGTTTATTCACTTGTCAAATGTGTGTTTGAAAAGTACGAGAAACGGTGTGATTGCAGTCAGTGGGTTTCCACAAAATTGAAAGAAAACTGTAAAAAGGGCTGGAGAGATAGATGGCCACGCAGTTAAAGAGAACTTAACTGCTCTTGAGGAGGACCTGCACTTACGTGAATTCCCAGCACTCAAGTCAGGTGAGTCACAATAACTCCACAATCACTGGCCTCCGCGATCACTGACCTCTGCGGGCACCTACACTCATGTACACACACGCAAACACACTCGTACACCTAAAAACAATAATCTTCTTAAAAAAGAATTTATATATATGTATATATAAATGCTACTAGATTGCTGTACTAATAGGTATGCAAACCCGCAAGGCCGGCAGAGAAAGAAGCCGCGCATGCGCAACGCAGGCACTGAAGGCGCCCTAGTGAGGGCCGTGCGTGCGTCGTACGGGCAGTCGCGCCCAAGTGGCGCGTGCGTGGGGCGGAGCCTGCGGCCCTTGGCGCGACTCTAGGTTCTCCTTCGGCTCTGGTGGTTGCTCAGTAGCTGCTCGGCGTGGAGGGAGACGGTCCCCGTCTGAGTTATGGATTTTGAAAATCTTTTCTCAAAACCCCCCAATCCGGCCCTCGGTAAAAAACGTGTCGCCGACTCTGAGAAAAGGTGATCCACATGTTTTCGTCCTTTGCAGGGCACCGCCCGGGCTCCGCCCCCTCGCTCCTTCGGGAAGCCGCGAGCCTGGGCTAGCGCGTGGGCGGAGGCCGGAGCGGAGCGGTCGCGAGGGGAAGTGGGATGGAAGTCGGAGGGGGACCGGGGCGAGGACAGTGGCCGGGCAGCGGGAGGAGGCTCCGGCCTCTGCGAATCTGCCCCCAGGGGCCGGCTGCTCCCCTTGCACGTGCGCTTAACCTGTTTCCTGTCACTGTCTCAGCTCAGAGGCGGCTTTGCCCGGACTCCTGGTTCTTGAGAGTTTGAAGGATACAGAAACACTGCCCTGCCAGTGATCCCGAACCAAAAATCCCAGAATAAAGCAGCAAGCACCATTTCGGCTTAGTATTTCCGTTAAATTGGAAAAGCATGTTGTTAATGTCGTACCTAGCGCAGAGTGCAGACTTTCTGTACAGGTACCCATTCACTTTTCAGTCTTTCGAGTTGAAAGCGCGTCCCCACACTCCATCTTCTCTCCTAAACCCTTGTCTTGTATGTTCCTATCTTGCCTCAGTGGAAACTTGACACACATCCTTCACGAGTTTTTTTCCCCATCCTCAATACAGATACATTTCCAGTGCTGGGTCGGCCACACCTTCAATCCCAGCACTTGAGGGGCCAAGGCAGGCAGACCTTTGAATCTGAGACCAGTCTGGTCTACATAGCCAGTTGCAAGCCAGCCTGGGCTGCTACATAGTGAAACCCTATCTCAAGGGGAAAGGGAGTATGTGTTCACTTCTCTGTCTCTACCTTAGTGGGAACTATTACTCTAATTGGGCTACATCAAGGGCTTTACTGTGTGCTTCATGTGAAATATAGCCCCCACAGATGAGAATATTGAAGCATAGAGAGCCTAAGTCACCTGCTGAGATTGTATAGTGGGGGTGGCAGATCTAAGATTAAGGTGCTCCAGTAGTGTGACTTCAGTACGTAGGATTTCATCACCCAGCTTCTAAAGCACAATTAATCAGGAAAATTAGGTCCTATAGACACACTGTAAAGAAATGGACAGATTGCTTGCAGGTGATAACATTTAAGAACAACAGAAATGAATTGATAATTTTAACTTGTATGAGAACTGAGCAAGTTTTTAAAAATAGCTAATAGTTTGAGAATATATTAGGCAAAATACTTGTTTACTAGAATTTGGCTGAAATATGTAAAAGACACTTGGATTTGCCAAAAGATAGTTGAAGTATGGCATGGAAGTAAGGTATCTATTCATGTGCTGCTTTTTACTTTGGCTTTAGGTCTTTTTCAAGATTTTAGGTTTCTGTATTTTTCTCTCAGTTTATCTTTTGATTTTTGCCTGCAGTTTTTTCAGTGTATTGAAACACTTTGTTTTAATTTATTTTATATGTATGATTTCTTTTGCCTGCATCTATGTCTCTGCACCACATGTGTGCCTTGCCCTTGGAGGCCAGAAGAGAGCATTGGCTCCCATGAAACAGGTGTTAACCATGTTTGTTAACCATCATGTAGGTCCTCTGGAAGAGCAGCCAGCGCTCTTAACAACTAAGCCATTTCTCCGACCTGATAAGAGTGTGTGTGTACGATCTTGCAAGTGAGTCAGTCTTTAAGTTTCTGGCTTTTTGCTCATTATGGGAATACTCATTCATTTAAAGCAATTTTTAATGAGTTCCTGCTACATAAAACACATCATTCTAGGTCATGGTGATAGAACCATAAATGGAATGTAGAAAAGTACTAATGCTCATGAATTGTAATTGTGGTGGATGACAGATACATGGTATTAAAGATAATGGAAACCACAGGGCAAATGGAAACTGAGTGAGGAGTTAAGAAGTACTTGTGGAATAATGAGGATAGTGTAGATAGTATTCAAAGAAGACAGTTAAGGAAAAGCCTTAACGAAAGTCACCTGTTTGGTTGTTAAGGGCAGGAAGTTGGAGACTAGGATGTTGGAATCAGCTATATACAGATGATACTAGAAGCCAGGAGACTGAAAGACGTCACCAAGAATGAAAGTAGAGAAAGAAAGATGAGGACTGGCTTTGTTAAGAGTTGCAAAGATGAGGAGCCAAGTGAGGAGATAAAGAAGTAGCAACTGGGCATGGTGTCACACCTATAATCCCAGTCATAGGGAGGCAGAAGCAGATAGATTGGGGCCAGCCTGGTCTACATAGTGACACTGGTAGTTTGAATGTAGTTTGTCCCCATCAGCTCATAGGGAGTGATACTATCAGGAGATGTGGCTTTGTTGGAGTATATGTGGCCTTGTTGGAGGTCGTGTGTCACTGTGGGGGTAGGCTTTGAGGTCTCCTTTGCTCAAGCTACACCCAGTAACAGTTCACTTTCTGTTGCCTGTGGATCAGGGTGTAGAACTCTCAGCTCCTTCAACACCATGTCTGCCTGCATGCTTCCATATCCTGCCATGATGATAATGGACTAAACTTCTGAACCTGTAAGCCACCCCAATTAAATGTTTCCTTTCATAAGAATTGCTGTGATCCTGGTGTCTCTTCACAGCAATAGAAACCCTAACTAAGATCCCATTTTTTAAAAAAAGTAGCAGCAGCAATAGGGGAAAAGACAGGGACAGCTCAGTTCCACTGGAGCTGGCTTACTAGCTTATGGGTGAGTCAAGAAATAGGACTGAGAATCATGGCCCTTAATGGAACAGTGAAGCGGAGAGGGCAGGGTAGAATGACAGGGTGTGATTCAAGACACGGTTCTCCATTTCTGATGTTTTCTGTCCTTTCATCTTGGGTTGATTTTTCTGTTAAAGCAGCAGTTCTCAACCTTCCTAATGCTGCATCCCTTTAATACAGTCCCTTATGTTGTGGTGATCCCCAACCATAAAATTATTTTCATTGCTACTTCATAACTGTAATTTTGCAACTATTATGAACCATAATGGAAATAACTGATATGCAAGATATCTTATATGTGGCCCTGTGGAATTTTTGGTTGTTATCATGCCTGAGTCTGAAAAGAGTCTTCATCTTCACTTCGGGTGTTTGTCTCCTAACCTCCAAAAGCCTCCTGCACTGTACCTGGCATACCCTTCTCTTTTTATGCTCCTTTTGAATAATTCTTCCATATCGTTTCTGTTTAGAAAACCCCAAGTCTAACATAAGAACAAAGTGTTCTTTATATATGTACCTGTATTGTTTTTCTCGAAAGCAGCTAGGAAGCCCTTAGGAGGCAGGGACAACTCGTCTTTTTCATTGTTGTACCTGATGATATGAGGCCACAGCCTGACATGTGGCGAATACTTAGTATGTACTGAATGACTGGAATGGTGAGTGAGTGATGACGTGTGTGTGTGTGTGTGTGTGTGTGTGTGTGTGTGTGAAAATTCTTAAGCATTGAGATTATATAATGGAAAGTTTTCAGTTTTATAGGTTGTGTATACATATTAACATTTACTGGCCATCATCATCATTGCATTGTTGTTATTCTGAGACAGAGCCTCACTATGTAGCCCTGGCTAGCCTAGAACTTGCTGTGTAGAGCATACTGGCCTCAAACAGATCCACCCTTGCCTCCTGAGTGCTGGGATTAATGGACTGCACCACTATACCTGGCCTATATTGCTGTTTTTTATTAATGTTTTTGTTATAGAGTATTTTGAATAGTCTTCGAATTTGCAGTTTATCTTAACCCAAGCAATGCGTTTTAACGTAATAAACACTTTTGTGTTATTTGTTATTTTCGATGCAGAATTGATGATGAAGTACATGGTGCTGAAGTTGAAGAAACACAGACAGAGAAAGTAAAATGGAAAGCAAAGCGGAACTGTGAGCCAAATCCCAAGAAAGTAAGGTTCAGCTGGACAGACAGCTTTGGATGGATGTGAGAACATGAGGGACCCTGTTTGTCTCGTTGTATCCAGCATTTGGGGCCCAGTTACTTTGGTCAAGGAAACTCAGAATCATCTTTCAATAACTTTCTTACCTTGTGGCTTGAACTCCCTCACCATCAGATGGAGAATGTACCAGTGTTATAACAAGATCGATTTCCCATTTCTGAAATGGACTGTAAACTGTTTTTGAAAAGTTTCTTTCCTATCAAATTAGATGTAAAATCTACATGTCTGACTCACTACTTAAGCAGCCTCAGTAATTACTAACTTAAAACCCAGATTAGTGTGTAGCAGGATATAAACATGGCAGCATGAACAAACAAAATGTATTATCCTGTAGTTCTTGGGCTGAGAGCAAGGTGTTGGCAAGGTGGTTCCTTCTGGGATGTGTAAGGAGGGATCTGTTCCAGACCCCTCTGGTGCTTTTTGGTTTTCCATGACTCTAGAAAGCATCCTGACCTCCTGTGCAATGACCTGACTTCCAAATAGGCCCCCTTCTGAAGGACTCAAGACTTACACATAAGAATTTAGAGTCGGGGGCTGGAGAGATGGCTCAGAGTTTAAGAGAACTGACTGCTCTTCCAGAGGTCCTGAGTTCAATTCCCAGCAACCACATGGTGGCTTACAACCATCTATAATGAGATCCGATGCCCTCTTCAGGCATGCAGGGATACATGCAGACAGAATGTTGTATACATAATAAATAAATCTTTAAAAAAAAAAATTTAGAGTCAGGGAGACTCATGTTCAGTCCATCACAAAGTGAATAAGCTCCTCTCTTTGTGAAGTTATTTTTTGGCAGGGAGGCAGTAAATGCTAATGTATTACCTAAGAATATGTTCATATTGGCAATGTAAGGCACAAATGGGCTTTATAAAAAGATCCAAGAGAGATGATACAGCTGGCATGGCATCATTGTCTCCTGGGGAAGGCTCTAAGCTACCACATAAATACTGTCTTTGCATGTGTAGCTGCCAAGCATAAGAACCTAGGCTGAAGCCGGGAGGCAGATACAGGCAGATTTCTGTGAGTTCGAAGCCCGCTTAGTCTACAAAGCTACACTGAGAAACCCTGTCTTGGAAAAAAAAACAAAAACAAAAACAAAAAAGAAATAAAAACAAAAGAACCGAGGCTGACATCCTGAAACTGCAGCTTTATTATCCCACAGGGGTAGTGCCCACAGTTCACAATCTGTGTACTGCCTCTCTAGTAGATAGACAGATAGAGCATTGTATCTTAACTAATTTCCAAGGAAGTTATAGGAAAAGATAGACACCCAGGTTATCCTCAGCCCAGGCTTTTCAGATACTAATATAAATATATATAGGGTTATGGCTAACTTAGTTGGGTACTCAGGTAAGAACTGCAGGTCCAGAAAAGAGTATTCCTGCCTCCTTCCTCTGTGTTAGCCCCTGAGATGAGCAGTTCTAGCTTGTATACTGGTTGCTTCCATGCTCTTTACAGTTTTACTGCTTATGTGGTCATCCCTAAGATTACAGTTTAAAATCCATACATCTAGTGTATGCTTGCTATCTTTATGGAAGTGCAGTAGTCCATCATTTGAACATAGAACACCCTATGTGGATAGGTCCTGGGTTTGCTTTTATTAGCACTGCTATGACATTCTTTCACTTATATCATGCATGTGCACTCTGCATTGTCCTGGGAGAGATGATGCTAGATCCTCACACATGAACATCATTGCTGTTGTATTAATACTTAATTGTGTCAGAAAGTGGTTATACCGGTTTTTATTCCAATACCATGGATGAGAAGGACTATGTGGCTCTGTCTGAGGATGCCATGACAGCCCTTTCCCCATGTGAATTTTCTGTTTACTTCCACTTGTTCTAGTCTTTCTGTCCTCCTTGCCTTCATTGAGATTACCTGTTTTGCTATTATTATTGTTTTCTTACAGTTCTTTACGAGTAGCTTTTGGTTGTCATTCCTGTATGTTATGTGTCACAGATACCTGCTCATGTTAGTTGTTTTTTTATCCAGTGATAAGTGGTTTTAAGAATGTATATTTAGTCCTTTGTGTATTGATGAACATATATTACCTTCTAAAGCTTTGTTTTACCTTTTACATTGAAATTTATAATCACGATGGGGTGCAGGCAACCTATTTCTTTACTTTGTTATTATCATACCTAATTGTTTGAGGACCATTCATTTATCAGTAAGGTGCTGTCTTGTCCCTGTGGTTTTACATTGTCAATTTTGTTAAAATCAAGTGTATATGTTCAGTTTTCTCAACTATCTGTTCTTGTCCTCTGAATTATCTGTTCCTTTCCTAGTACTTAGAGTTAATTATTGCAGTTTTATAATGATTTGGTGTTGTATTAGCAAGTCCTGGCATCTTTGTTTGTTTTCTTTGAAGTGTTTTATTTATTTATTTTTTTTGAGTTTGGTTTTTTAAAACAGGGTTTCTTTGTGTAGTCCTTGTTATTCTGGAACTTACTCTGTAGACCAGACTGGCCTCAAATTCAGGGATCTGCCTGTTTCTACCTCTCAAGTGCTGGGTTTGAAGGTGTGCACCAAACCACACCTGACTTGTCTTAGCTATTCTGAGCCATAGGCCTATCTATGTAAATTTAAAGTCAGTTTGTTGGGTACCACAGAAAGTCTTGGTAGGATTTTCATTGGGAATGTGTGAAATTTATAGATAATTTAGAGGGGAATTGGAATATTTAGAATAGTGTACAGTCTTTGTCCTGAATTTTTCTAAGCATTTTCTAAGCTTATTGTGTATGAGCGTTGGCAGAAGCTTATGTGTGTGGAAGTATGTGAATGTGTGTGTGTGTCTAATTATGTACGCATATGTGAATACATCTGTAGGCCAGTGGTTGATATTGGCTATCTTCCTCAGTTCTCTATTTTTTTGAGACGGGTCTCTGAACCTTGAGTTCATTGATGTAGTTGGGTTGGCTATCCAGTCAACTCCAGGGATCTGTCTGTCTCTACTCACTAGTGCTGTCTCCTAGGGCTACAGATGAGGCTACCAGACCAGCTTTTACATGGGTACTAGAGATCTGAACTTGAGTTCTTGTGCCTGCATAGCAGGAACTTTACTGACTGAATCATCTCCCTAGTCCTTCGTGTGTGTGTGTGTGTGTGTGTGTGTGTGTGTGTGTGTGTGTGGGTGTGTGTGTGTGTGTGTGTGTGTGTGTGGGTGTGTGTGTGTGTGTGTTGTGTGTGTGTGTGTTTGTTTGTGGTGTGTGTGTGTGTGTGTGTGTGTGTGCATGCATTTGTGCGGTTTGCCCTTCAAAGCTAGAAGCATCAGATTCCTCTGGAGCTGGAGTTACAGGTGTAAGCTGCTGGACATGGTACTAGGAGCTAAACTTGGGTCTTCTGGAAGAGTGCTATGTGCTACTAACCACTGAGCCATTTCTCCAGCCCATTTTTAATTCTGCAAAAATTTTCAGGTGTTTAAAAAAAGAGTGTAGAGAATGCTATATGAAACCTATGTACCCATCATACAAATGCAATAATAGTCAATTAATGGCCTGTATTGCAGTCTCTCTCTCTCTCTCTCTCTCTCTCTCTCTCTCTCTCTCTCTGTGTGTGTGTGTGTGTGTGTGTGTGTGTGTGTGTGTGTATGTGTGATATTTTGATTGTATTTTGATGTTCCTGAGACTGATAATTTTTTTTTTAAATCTACTTTTGTTTTGTTTTTTGTTTTTTTGAGACAGGGTTTTACTGTGGCTTTGGAGCCTATCCTGGCACTCGCTCTGTAGACCAGGCTGGCCTTGAACTCACAGAGATCCACCTGCCTCTGCCTCCTGAGGGCTGGGACTAAAGGCATGTGCCACCACTGCTCGGCTAAACTTTGTTTTGAAATCAGAGGGTGAAGCTAGCTACTAGCTGACCAAAATCAACCATATAGGTTTTGGAGGGCTGAGGACAGATAGACACAGGAAGTATTAGGACAGAGCTCAGAGGGGGTCTTGGCCCTTTTGGATGGAGGATTGAGAGAGACAGGAGGTCACTGGTCGCTTCGCTGCTGCTTCTCTGATCGTTCAGATTCTTACCCCTCTATCTGATTCGGAGTTCTTATTGATAAAGAATAATTAAGTAAACACATCATCTTTTCATCTTTACTTAGTTTAAGCACCTTGGAAACTCTACAGCATCACCAAAGAGTTTGCCACGTATAAAATCGAGAAGTAAGGACTATGACCCGTACAGTGATGGTGAGACCTGCAGTCAGGAATCAGAAGATAATTTTGACAAAGAGCTTCAGCAATACATACAAGCCAAAGAAATGGCAAATGCTGCTCAACCATCACTACTTCCTGAAGAATCTGTGAAAAAAAAGGGAGCAGAAGACACCCAGCAGAGTAAGTGATAAACTGTTTTATCACTTAGAGTTTGTATGCAGCAGTTGTCATGGTTGTCTGTATTTAGTGTTTTTTTTACCTGCACTTTATCTTATGGTGAGAAGGTGACTTTTGTTGCTCTTTATGCCAGATACGAACTTGTTTGATGTGAGACATAACCTGAGACTTGGTTGCTTGATATGTAGGAGACACTGGCAGCTGCTGGCAGGTTATCAAAGTCTGAATCACTGGCTTCTGTATGTATGAAGGTTGGGCTGTGCCTGCTTATATGGCCCTTGTTTAAAGAATTGACTGCTGGATGATTGTGTATAAGTCTATATATTTTTAAGTGCTGGGGTTGATCACCCAGGACTCATGTGTATTAAGGGTACATTCTACCACAGAACTATATCCCCAGCATAGAAATGTATTTCTTTTTAAAATCTTTTTAAATTTTAAATTGAAATGTACTACTTTAAATTATTACAATAGAATTTAGCCATAGATATGAGGACACATAACAATCTGTAAATGAGGGGTTTTTTGTTGTTGTTGTTGTTGTTGTTTTTGAGACAGGGTTTCTCTGTGGCTTTGGAGGGTATCCTGGAACTAGCTCTTGTAGATCAGGCTGGCCTCAAACCCAGAGATCCTCCTGTCATTGCCTCCCAAGTACTGGGATTAAAGACATGCCATAACTTCCCAGCATAAATGAAATTCTTAATGCTTTCCATTTACTGTGATTTCCTCCAAGTATTTCTTCTATTCAAGATGCAGCTATAGGTAAATTTAGTGTATATGGAATGTTTTCTTTTTTGGCACTTGTGAGTATGTGCGTGCATGTGTGAGATATTTTGTGATGGGATCTCATGTAGTCCAGGTAGTCTGAAACTTGCTATGTAGTTGAAGATAACCTGGTACCTCTCATTCTCCAATCCCAGTTTCCTCAGTGTGAGGCTTACAGTTGTCTTACTTGGCTGTATATTGCTGTGAGAAAACACCATGACAGCACCTTGTGGAAGAAAGGGTTTATCTCATATTATACTTCCAGGTAACAAGCAGTCCTTTACTGAAAGAAGCCACAGCAAGGACACAGAGGTGGGAAATGAAGCAGAGACCATGGAGGGGTGCTCTTTGCTTGCTTGCTCCCTGTGACTTGTTCAGCCTGCTTTCTTATACCATCCAGGTCCACCTGTCCAGGGTGGCACCACCCACAGTGAGCTGGGCTCTCACATTAGTTATTAATCAAGAACATGCCCTGTCTGGAGGCCATCTGTTGGAGTCACCAGTTAAGATGTCCCTTCCCAAATAATTCTAGTTTATGTCAAATTGACAAAAAAAAAAAAAAAAAAAAACAAAACAAAAAACAACAAACTAGCTAGCACACAAGTATGTGTTGTCATCCTCAGCTCTGACACATTTTCAAAAGAAAATCTACAATATATGAGATCATTTTAAACCACTCTAGCTTTTTTCTACAGATGTTGTGGCAGTTGTAGTTAGATAGGTTGATTGCTGATGTCTTCAGAATGTTCTGGTCTCTGGTGTGCAAGACTGATTTAATTATCTTGCTTTTCCCTCCCATCCAGCACTTCTTTTCAAAACAATGCATTTGAAATTAGGATATCAGAATTCTCTGTTTGCTTCTTAATAGCAAAGCTTCTAGAGAGTCAGGTCACTGTCCTACCCATTTTCCTTCACTGAGGTGCAGGTTCCCCGAATTATAAGGCCTATTTCTGAAGGTTAAACTGATATCATACCTTTATGCTATTTTAAAAAATGAACTTGTTTGTTTTTAGCTGCCAAACAGAAAAATAAAAAATCTAAAGCTGGTCACAAGAAAGTTAAACAGAAGAAGATGAAGCGAAAGTGGCCTGGCACTGGGGACAAAGGGCCGAATGTTTCCCTCAAGAACAGTGTATCCCAGAAAAAGGTAAAAAGAGCTGTGCTTGTAGGAGGATGCCCACATGCTTCCTGGTTTTTATCTTTCACCTCAGTTTCAAGAAGTGCTCAGTGATGTGGAGAGGCAGGAGCATCCCACTCATCAGGGTTATGTTGACTTGGTGGTCTTTCTTCTTAACCACTGCTTCCTGCCCTCTCAGCATGGGCTGCCAGCGCCCATCTTTAGCCTCAGGGATTTCCCTGTTGGTCCAGAATACAGGTGTACCAGCCCTTTGGTCTCTGTGTGTTGGACCATCACTAACTGTAGTAAACTGGAGTGGGGCAGAAGGAAAGAGCCTTGGAGGCAGTTGAAAGGCCAAATAGTCTTGCACAGCTGATATATTACAGCCCCCCAGGCTTTGGGCTGATTCCTTCTGGAATTACAAACAGCTATTTCTGAGTACTTATCTTACCAGATCTTCCAGTCCTGCTCCTGGTTCTTTGACTGTGCTTTGTAAGTGTTCTTCCTTGACATGCATATGCACTCAGCATAGGATAATAAGTGACTGCTCTTCTTAAGACCTTTAAACTGAATGGCAGGCTTTTTACTCAGCTTAGTCACGGGGTCAAGAGTTTGGAGAGGTTAAAATACTAGAATACAACGTATTACCTAAATATGGTTGTGGATGCCTTGTCCCTACTGCTTTGGAGTGGTAGCAGGAGTTCGAGACCATCCTGGGTAACAGACAGTGAGATTCCATATCAATAAAAGGGAGGAGGAATACCAAATGTTAAAGATTGAAATAAACTGCTGGGCGTTGGTGGCGCACACCTTCAATCCCAGCACTCGGGAGGCAGAGGCAGGTGGTTCTCTGTGAGTTCAGGCCAGCCTGGTCTACAGAGTGAGTGTCAGAATAGGCTCCGAAGCTACACAGAAAAACCCTGTCTTGAAAAACAAAGCAAAACAAAAAAAGATTGAAATAAACTTACATGAGAGCTGTCTCTTTATACATATTTTGCAAATGGGGAATCTAAACTCAGTTCAGATCACTGCTGCTTGCACACAGGGCTAAGCCAGGGCTGCACTTTTTTCCTCCCCCTCTTCTGAGTCTTAACATTGGCTCTGATGATTCTTCACCCAGAACTGACATGAAGAGCAAGTTCTAAACATGTTAGGCTCTCACAGCATAATGATCTAAAACCAAAGATTTGAGCTGAAATACACGTATGATTTTTATGGTCTTAATAAATCAATAACTTGGTATTTTTGCCAAACAGGCCTCTTAGGAGATGGGTTAGCTCCTTAATTGCATATACCATATTCGAAAAACTGTGTTTATTACTTAGGCACACAGAAGCGTTATGCTCTGTCTGTCACAAGTTAACACATTAAAAATAGTTTTTGTTTCTAAAGAGCTAAAACAGATTTTAAGGCTCTCATTTCTTTTTTAAATATTAAGCTGTAAAACTATCATTGGAACTAGAGTGTTTTTGGTGCTTCTTGTTTATCATGAGTCCCAGCTTTGTTTCCATAATCCTAAAGCTTTCTATTGTAGACTTTTTATTACAAATAACATTCTTTCCTTTTTTAGTTTTTTAATTCATTTTTATAAAATAAGGACAAAGTACAATAAGATATTCAAATTTTACAAACACTACTACTCAGTGGTTGAATGCTGTTGAAACCAATGAACACTTATTTTATGAACTGATATACTACAGTCCAACTTTAAAGCTCTTTTAGGAGAGACATGTTTTTGAGCCAGGTTCTTGCTGTATAGCTCAGGCTGGCCTTGAACTTGTAACCCTGCTTTGTCTTTGGAATGCTGAGATGACACATGTGTCACCATGCCCAGCTAAAAGAAAAGAGGCACATTCTAATGTATTAAAGTAGCTTAAAGCAATTTTGTAAAACAGAATGAAATACTTAATTTTTTCTCCTTTTTTTTTTTTTTTTTTTTTTTTTTTTTTTTTTTTTTTAAGATGGATGAACCTGAAGAGAAGCAGCCTCGTGTAAGGATGAGTCAAGGCTTCATCAATCAGCACACGGTGGAACGTAAGGGGAAGCAAGTGTGCAAATACTTTCTTGAAAGGAAATGTATTAAGGTATGAGTGTGTTAACAAAAACACACTACACTGTGTTTATGGCATAAGTCTATGAGAACTGCTGTCTCTGTTTGAGCCTTTTAAAAACATACCTCTAAAATTTTAAAAACTTGCTCTTGGAAAAAGTTTAATTAGGAAATTAGTGATATGCCACTTTATGCTTTTAAAGGTAATTTACTAAAGATGTTTAAGAATTTTTAAAAGTTCAGCATGTTGAGCCGGGCGTTGGTGTTGCACGCCTTTAATCCCAGCACTCGGGAGGCAGGTGGCTCTCTATGAGTTCGAGACCAGCCTGGTCTTCAAGAGCTAGTTCCAGGACAGCCTCCAAAGCCACAGAGGAAACCCTGTCTCGAAAAACAAAACCAAAACAAAACAAAACAAAAAAATGTTCAGCATGTTGTCATATGCTGAGGCACTAGCTTGTCAGGACTCTTTCTGGACTGGCTTGCTCATTTGAAGTTTAGTAGAAGTTAAGTTGCAAAGGTCTAACTGTGATTGATAACTTGTGTTTATTCTTACCCCCAGGGAGACCAGTGTAAGTTTGATCATGATGCAGAGATAGAGAAGAAAAAGGAAATGTGTAAGTATTATGTACAAGGGTACTGCACCAAAGGAGAGAACTGCCTGTATTTGCATAATATCCTTTATCACAAGATTCCCTTCTTATAACATGAACATTTAAATAAACCATAGCTGTTGCTTTAACAAAGTGTTCTAAGCCCAAGTTGATATCAAAGTGATTGCATTGTATACACTTTTACATAAGAAAGAAAGGGACCCTTCAGAAAACCTCCTAAATATAAGTCTGTTCGGTTCAGCCTGTGTAGTAGAAGGTTCATGAGACCAGGTCAGGCCCCGGAAGATGTCAGTTTCTGTTGTGATCATGTCTTATTGAGTCTGTATTCATATAGAAAAAGAGATATTTTATAGAGGTTCCCTTAATTTGAAAGGTAGCTTTAGTTCTAATAGCACAGACTTGTTAAAAAAAAAAAAAAAAAAAAAAAAAAAAAAAAAAAAGGCCAAATACAGGCACTTAAGGTAATAGCACCATTGATCACACAAAAGTTGTTTCTTTATAGTCATATATCATAGAATATCAGATTCTAACTTGATATTTTCTGGATAACAATGTTATATAAATTAGTTCTACTTTAACAAACATAATGCATTAAAAAAAAAAATCCAGATTTGTAGAACATCCTGATTGTTATCATTGACTTTAATTTACCCCATCCTCAAAGAACATTTTAAAATAACCACATCTCTCAAGGAATTAAAATACATTTCTTTCATCTGTGAATGAAACCTGTGGCCTATTATGAGAATATATATGAGGGAGAAAAAAATTGTCTTTCTAAAATGAGGCCTTTTATTGTCTCATATTTTAAATAGGAAACTCAGTGATTTTACTGGTAGAAAGATTTTAGAGGAAAAGTATTATTAAATTAATATTGAATTATTTCAGTTGAATTAAAATTGTTCTTTCCCTTAACACTGTGCTACATGAATACCCTTGCAAGTTTTATCACACAGGAACAAAATGTTATCAGGGTGATCACTGTAATTTTTCTCATGCTCCGCTGACTGCAGAAACACAAGAACTGTTGGCTAGAGTAAGTACTGTGGTTATTTTGTTTTTCTTTTTTAAAAGAATATGTTTGGACCAAGGATAACATTTGAAAAAAGAGAGAGAGCTTCATGGGCTAGTATATGATAATCTAAGTTTACTTAGGTTTGGAAAATTATTTTTATCTTATTGTCACTAAAAGGAAAATTAATATCCATTAATAGTATGAATTAGAATGTTCTTAAATTCACTATTATTCTAGATTTACAATTTTTATGGTTTACTATGTGTGTGTGTGTGCAGATTTCTGGCATTCAGAAAAAACTCTTACAGTTGGTTCTTTCATGATGTGGGTCCATAGGATCAAACTCACCTGGCAGCAACCACTTTTACTCACTGAGGCATCACTTTACCCTGGTTGGCAACTTAAATAGCTGTTTTAGATCAAGACAAGCAAAGGAAATAGAGGCATAGCATAGTCCTCTTGTTACAAGCTCAGAAGGAAATCCAAAGTCATTGCTGACAAACATTTTAGCTACATCAACAACTGGCCATGTAGTTTGTCTTCTGATATTCTTAGTCTCTGAGAAAAGGTTTTTGTGAAGTTACGGTTGTTAACATTCTCTTCCCATAGATTAGGTAAGGATAGTGTCTCCAAATTTAAATTTAAATAAAATGTGGAAATTAAAAAATAATCCTAAAACTGCCTGCAGCAAAAGTGCCCTGAGCATAGGCCAGTATGAGAAAGGGAAGTACTTATTGGTAGACACTTTTATGTCTAAAATAGAGAAGGTGTCTATGGAACTAGAAATCATGCCAATACTTACTTATGTGAAATGAGGTTTTTATTTCTTGTTGTAGTACCGCATGCTGTTGGATCTAATGTTGTTAGAACCATTTGAGAAGTATAAGATAGGACAGTGTACATAGTAGGTGTTAATGATTTTTTTTTAATTCACATTTTCTTTGTTGTTTAGGTTTTGGATACTGAAAAGAAGTCATGTAAATAGACTAAAAAGGTAAAAGTGACTCTGCTAATGTTCTTATTCTCTGAATCATGTCTTGAAATTGAGATAACAGCTTTAATAGAGGTTTTTCTGTCTTTTTCAATGAAAGCATCTTTTCCTTCCTTCCTCAATAAAAATATGTGCATACCTGCTTCTCTAGTTTTGCCTGTCATGTGTTTTTTAAAATTCTCCTCTTGAGTTCTGTCTGTCCATCTGTCTGATTTTTGAGATAGGTTCTATGTAGTCCTGGCTGTCCTGGAACTTGCTGGTCTTAAACTCACAGAGATCCACCTGCCTCTACCTTCTGAGTGCCAAGATTAAACATACGCACTACCACACCTGGCCCTATATAACATTTTATTTTATGACTGTGTTATGATTAGATGTCATTAATGGAGCTTTAGACTATTGTCAGTTTTTGGAATGCACATTGTTACTGTAACTCTTTATAAATATCTCTTGCTATAATTTGCAGTTACTCAGGGTCTGTACCAAGGAGTAGAATTAATGGATTGGTTTAAGGTAACACAATTTTTCTAAAGTGTTTTGTAACAGTTTACATTTCTATAAGTCAGAGAATTTCTGTCCCATACTTGTTAATACTTTGTATTTTAATTTTTCCCCAAACTTAGTGGATGTAAAAATGGTGTCCCATAGCTTATTTGCATGAAATACAACATCTTCAGCCTACTGGCCAAAGGGTTCTGTTTATCCTTTTGCATTGTTTTTATATGTTCCTCATCCTTTGTGAAGAGTGTTGGGTCATTTCCCATTTTGTAAGGTGTCTTTCTTTTTATCTTTTGTTTTGGTTTTGGTTTTTCAAGACAGGCTTTCTGTGTATAACAGCCTTGGCAGTCCAGAAACTAGCTCTGTAGACCAGGCTGGCCTCTGATATATAGAGTTCTGCCTGCCTCTGACTCCCGAGTCCTGGGATTAAAGGTATATGTCACAATGCCCAGCTTTTTTTGAGGTAGGGTCTTGCCATGTGTTACTCTTTTCCAATGTTTTAGTTATTCAAGATCTTTTAGATTCAGATTCTATATATGATTTATTTTTTATTTTTATTTATTTATTTAATTTTTGAGATGGGATTTCTCTCTGTAGCCTCCCAAGTACTAGGAGTAAAGGCATGCACCACCACTGCTTGGCCTATATGTGAATTTGGTTTTTTGGTTTTTTTTTTTTTTGGTTGTTGTTTTTCGAGACAGTGTTTCTCTGTGGCTTTGGAGGCTGTCCTGGAAGACAGCCTGGTCTGTAGATCAGGCTGGTCTCCAACTCACAGAGATCTGCCTGCCTCTGCCTTGAAGGCCCCCTCTTGAACACAAGTGGGTAGGCAGGGGCCTGGAGTGTTGATGGGGCAGCCAGCCTTAGATCACCTCTGGTTAGTAGGCATGGTTAGAGATGAAGAGAGATTCACTGGCTGCAGCTCCAGACTGACCACTTGGGGTATACTTTCCTTGACAAGCAAGGCTGTTGGCCAGGGTTCTCTTGATGTACTCCTCCTGGGCAGCCTTCAGATTCTCCTTCTTCCCACCCCACCCAGCCTATATTTTTAAGAAATTTATTTCAATGGGCAGTGGTGACTCACATCTTTAATCCCAGCACTTGGGAGGCAGAGGCAGGTGCATCTCTTTGAGTCCAAGGACAGCCTGATCTACAGAGCAGTTCGAGAACAGCTGGGACTACAATGAGAAACCCTGTTTCAAAAAAAAGGAAAGAAAAAAAACTTTCTTTCTTCCCTTTTTGTTTCTCTCTCTCTCTCTCTCTCTCTCTCTCTCTCTCTCTCTCTCTCTCTCTCTCTTTCAAATATCTATTTGTAACTTGATTGCGTTGAACATGAGGATTGCTTTGGGTAATAATAACAACAGTATTGTCTTCATATTTGTGAGCCTTTTATTGTTTATTTACTATGCATGAGTCTTTTGCTTGAATGTATGTCTTTGTCCTGCACTCATGCCAGGTACCCACAGAGTTTAGAAGAGGATGTTGCATCCTCTGAAACTGGGTTTATATGTAGTGAGCTGCTGAATGAGTGGTGGGAATCAAACATGGGTCCTCTGTCAAGAACAAGTGTTCTTCACCATTGAGCCAACCCTCCAGCCTCCACATTGTGAAATTTTTGATGTAATCATAAATGGGTTCTTAAATCTCTATTCAACTCTCTTATTGTTGATATAGTTTTGTTTTTGTTGTTGTTGTTCTTGAGATGGTGTCTTTCTATGTGGTCCTGGCTGTCAAAGAGCTCCCTGTGTACACCAGGTTGTTCTTGAACTCACAGCTTCGCCTGCCTCTGCCTCCTAAGTGCTGGATTAGAGGGTCAACGTAGCTTTATTTATTTATTTATTTATTTATTTATTTAGTAGCTTTATTTATTTATCTACTTATTTATTTATTTTTGGTTTTTCGAGACAGGGTTTCTCTGTGGCTTTAGAGTCTGTCCTGTAACTCATTTTGTAGACCAGGCTGGCCTCGAACTCGCAGAGATCCGCCTGCCTCTGCCTCCTGAGTGCTGGGATCAAAGGCTTGCACCACCAACGCCCAGCGAATATAGCTTTCTTAAAAATGTGGTTTTGTTTTTTTCTTTTTCCATGTTTTCTGGATTTTGGTTCAGTTCTAGCCTTTTTTTAAAGAATCTTCCCATTTAAATTCAGGGTGTTCCTTCCATTTTCCCCAAGAAGAATATCTAACTCATTTTGGATTTTATGTTTTCTTCTTGCTACACAGATGGTTTGGGGGGTGATTAAGTTGGTAATTTTCACAAGCTGATGTGTTTATTCTCTTCTGCAGCTTGTATAGAGGACAAATCTATTCCTGGTCAAGACTTTTGAAGACTGGCTAGCGACTTGGAATAGTTCGGAGGTTCCTCAGTTAATGCACCTTCCTGTGTGGTTGTGATCACGTGCAGCTCCCAGACCTAGCACTCAAGTGAAGTGTGGCTCTGCACTGGGAAGCTCCAGCTCCTGGGACACGAGGAGCACAAGCATGCTGGCTGGTGGTGGATGCTGTGCTGTGCTAGGTTGCAGAAGTCTCTTCCAGTCGAGATTTCCATACAGTTTGTACAAGCACAACAGAGGCAGAGAGGGGTTAAATGAGGGTGGGAGAAGTATGGGAAGGATGACGAGAGAGAATTGCCGGGGGACAGTTACATCTCTACGTGTCATTAAATACTTTGCACAACATTTTGAACAATAATTCAAAGTTCCATTTTATGGTTTAGCATAGAATACGGTTTTGTGATCTTTTTAAAAACAATTTTCTCCTGGATATCTGTTTTTTATTATCCCTGTTATAAATAAAGTGCAATAATATCTCTTGCTATGGTGTTTTCATACTTGATGCTCTTACCTTGGGCCAGTGAGCGCTCTGCAGGTAAATGTGCTTGTTGTGCAAGTTTGATAACCAGTTTGACCCTCAGATTCCATGGTGGAAAGAGGGAGCCGGCTTCAGAAAGTTGTCCTCTGGCCTCCATGTGTATGTCATGGCACATACGTGTCTATACTCACATTTGTCATGCGTGTGTGTAAACAACACACAAATAGTATTTTTTTTTAAAGAATCTTTCTTGTTGGCTCATAAACAGTGGTCACATTATGTACTTGTATAAAATATAAATGTTGTGAGTTTCAGGATGTTTTGAACACAGCATATAACATTTTCCAAATATAGATGAAATTCTAAGTATGTATTTTATACAATGGAATGCATGCTATTAGACAAATACCCTAAGACTTACTGTTTAGCACCTCTCTGATATACAGAGTTCATCATTCTATCAACTACTTAGATACCTGTTGAAAATACCAGCTAAGGTTATTTTGGTTGTAATGGGAGACTACCAAATCAAGAAAGTGATTGCTCATGCTCAAGGGTCAAAGAAGGGAGGACACTGGAATAGATCCCTGGAAGCTCAGGAGATTGTCTGAGAGTGAGCCTCTCCTCAGTGACCTGTTGTCACCTGCTGTGTTGACTGGTCCCCCTCCCCAGCTGTGGCTAAAGAGCAGGACAGGACAGTGCACTAGAAGCTGCTAGATAAAAATTACAGAGGAGGCCTCAAGGTAGTGGCACATGCCTTTAATCCCCGAACTCAGGAGGCAGAGGCTGGGCATCTCTGAGTTCCAGGCCAGCCTGGTCTACAAAGTTCCAGGACAGCCAGAGCTGTTACACAATTACAAACCCTTAGGTAATAAGCTGTGGGAAGGAGTGCTAGCAAAACCGAAGATGGTAAGAAGTCTGCTATTTGGTAAAGAAGGGTTTTCATACTTGTTTAAGCTTTTAGATAAGACAACTGTAATGACTACAACACTCAGGAGGCAGAGGCTGGCAGGTCCCTGTGAGTAAGAGTTCCAGGACAGTCCAAAACCTACAGAAAAACCCTGTCTGAAAAAAGAAAAAGAAAAGAAAAGAAAGAAATACCTTCAAGAACATAGGCCCTAAAGACTGTTGTAGTTGTGGTCCAAGATGATCAGACTGTGGCTACATGTGGAGCTGGTGGTAGTACTTGGTGTCATCCATATTATGATAACTTTGTAGGTAGCCCGAGTACAAGCATTAAGGGGCTGTGGAGGCAAGCACCTCCATAGAAAAGCCTGTGAGGCCATTGAATGTGTAGCAGGGTCAGATTCCCGGCAAAGAGTCCTTGCTAGGAGAATGTGCCCTGGAGTGGAGATACCAAGATGTTGGAAATCCTAGCAACATGGGGCACATGCTGAGGAAAACTGCAGACACTACGTGGAGCTGGCCACAAAGAAGCCACATTGCAGCAAACGGATATGAGAGGTGGAGCTGCCGAAGCCTGGTAATGCCACTGTGTGTTTCGGATGCCAGGTATGGAACTGTGGGTTTCAACATTTCCCCTTCTGTGTTGTTTTGTTTTATCCTACTTTTCCCTTGTGCCCAATTCCTCCCTTTTGAGATGGGAATGTTTGCTCTCTGCCTTTTTATGGGGGAGGTTTTGAGACAGGGTTTCTCTGAAGCTTTGGAGACTGTCCTGGAACTCACTCAGTAGACCAGGTTGGCCTTGAACTCAGAGAGATTAACCTGCCTCTGTTTCCTGAGTGCTGGGGTTAAAGGCATGCACTACCACCACTGCCTGGCCGTTCTCTGCCATTTTATATTGGAAATCTGTAACTTGCTTTTTTTTTTGGCTTTCTGGAGCTTGTGGCTAAAGTGGCTAACTTGAATCTCAGTAGAGACTTTGGACTCCAATTTGGAATGAAGGCATTTGTATGTTATTAGATGACCATGAGTCTTGGCAGGACCAAGGCCAAATGCTATGGTTGGGATCTGGAATGTTCCCCAGAGTGCCCAGTCCCCAGCTTGTGCTGTTTTGAAGGTTGTGGAACCTGGCAGATGTAGATCACTAGGTCTAGCCTTTGAGTGTTATACTGGTCTCTGGTTTCTGCCTGCATCTCTACTTCTTATCTGCTGCCATATGAATGAGCCTCTTTGTCATGTACTCCTATCATTGTGCACGGAACTGCTTACTGACACGCCTTACCATAATGGACACAACTGAAGTTGTGAGTCAAAAAAAGCCTTCCTCCCTTAAATTGTTTCAGTAGCATGTTTTGTTACACCAATGAGAAAAGTAATTAATATATTTGTCAGTTCCTCTAAAAGCACTGAGTATAATTCATAAGTAAATGTGGTGGTTAATGCCTTTTGAGATCAGGCTGAAGCAGGAGCATAACAAGTTCAAGACCAGCCTGGCCTATATCTGAGTCTTGCTTAGATATGGGGTGCCTAGGAAGGGAGGAAGAGAGAACAGAAGAGCATGGGGTGGGCTGTGACTGTCCCTCGGGGACTAAGCACTTGCCTGATAGTCACAAAGCCTTTGTGAACTAGTTCCGTAGCTACTGAAGTCATTGGATTTGTACTTTAAAAGATTTCATCAATGTCTGCATGTGCATGTACTGTTACTTAAAAACCTGAAGGGGCAGCTCCAGTGCCACAATCTCAATATTGTGGGGCTGTTGTTTTGCTCCAGATTGATTGGACTTAACCCTGCTCCAATAGAAATCCCAATAGAATTCTTTGTAGATGGGGATAAGCTTATTCTAAAATTCGAATGACAGGACAGTGGAAATAGAGTAACCAAACAAACCTTAAAAACAATACATTTGGGGTTGAGGATATGGTGTAGTGGTAGAGTGCCTGGCTAGCATGCATGAGGCCCTCTGGGCTTCATCTCCACTACTACACACATTTGTAAATACTGCAAAAAACCACACTACTCAAATATAAGAACTAACTCTGTCAGTTACAGTAATCAGAACTGATAGGCAGGTATGGTGATGCTTGTGTACTAGGGAGGTCTTAATTATACAGACTAGAATCATCAAAAAGGAAATCCTCAATTGAGGAATTACCTGAATCAGACTGGGGTGAGGACATTTCTGAGGAGGAATTGTCATGACAGTTAATAATGCAGGAGGGCTCAGGCCATGGTGGGTGGCACCATCTCTAGGCAGATAATCCTGAGCTCTATAAGAAAACTAGTCAGAGCTGAGCAGTGGTGGTATGCACCTTTGATCTCAGCACTTGGTAGGCAGAGGCAGGGGGATCTCGGTGAGTTTGAAAGCAAGTTCCAGGACAACCAGAGCTGTTTCACAGAGAAACCCTGTCTCAAAAAACAAAACAAAAAGCTAGCCAGTTAAGAGCCTGCCAGCAAGCAACATTGCTTCATGTTTTCTGCTTCAAGTTCCTTTCCAAGTTTCTACCTGACTCTTCTCATTTGTGAACTGTGACCAAATAAACCATTTCCTCCGCATGTTACTTTTGATCTGTGTTTATCACAACAAAAGAATGAAACTAGAATACTGGGGTCTTTATTTCTTCTTTGGGGATTTCTACAATAGCTAGTCATTTCCTATATACTTGAAGGGATCCCTTTAATATTTCCTATAGGGTAGAAATGCTGAGTTGTTTCTTCATGGAATGTTCCCATTTCTTCTTGAATAGTTTTGCTTAGTTAGCAGGTATCTCTTTTCTTTGATATCTGACTGTGTCAACCAACTGTGTCATTTGACCTTCATGGCTTCTGGTATGAACTGATCTGTCACTTTTACTGAAGCTTTCTTGAACTTGAAGACCCTTTACCAGTTTAAAACTTGTTTGATTCTGCATTTACTGTGTCTAGGTGTGAATCTCTGAGTTTAGCCTATTTGTAGATCTTTTAGCTTCTTAGGTGTACAGATTCGTGTGTGTTACCATATTTGGAAACTTTTAAGTCATTTTTTTTTTTTTGAGCATCTTTTCTACCCTTTCTCTTTCCTCTTTTTTCAGAGCCCTCATTGTCAACCGTCAGCTGAAATCTTCTGGCTCTACCTGGATAGGCAAGAAACTCTTCCAGTGCTAACAGTCCCTGGCATTTGGGTGCAAGATGTTGGAGTTGAACCTGTGGACCCAGAAGCTTACAGCTCCAATTCCTGACAACTAGTGCCTATTGCTACAGCTTTAGAAATTGAGACTAAAAAGCTTTGGGCACTTATGTTGGAGGGTCTGGCTTTAACCATCAATGGCCCTTTCCTGTGCCAGCTACTGTGATCCTCAACCTAGGGCAGCAGAGGCTGGCAGCAACTACAGTGTGAAAGCTGGCATACAGGCCTCGGGTGCTGGCACCGTTAGGCCTACAGCAAAGTGTTACAGCTCTTGGGCCTAGGATGTCAAGATCTCCAGTCCTTGATAAAAGGCTAGTATTATAGATTTCTGGTCCAAGGTGGTGGAGACCCTTGGCATTTGAGGCATGGCAGCTGTCTTGCAGCTCTCAGTTTGTCAACCCTTGCTTTTTTGGCTTCCGTTCCCTGGTTCTTCACTTAGAAACTCTTTAGCTGCCCCACCACCAGTTCTGCCACAGTGTCTACTGCTCTGCTGCCACTTCCGCCATGCCACAATGTTGACAGCCACTCTATGGATAAAGATCAAAAGTAGGTATGTGTGTTCATTATTGAGTCCCTTTGCTGTAGTTTGTTTGTTTGTTTTTTGTTTTTTTAGTTTTTTGAAACTGGGTTTCTCTGTGTAGCTTTGGAGGCTGTCCTGAAACTAGCTCGTAGACCAAGCTGGTCTTGAACTCACAGAGATCCCCCTGCCTCTGCCTCCCAGGTGCTTGGGTTAAAGGTGTGAGTCACCACGTCCCAGTTTGGAGAGATGTTCTTAACAGTTGCAGAGGACCCAGAGTTTATTCCCAGCACCCGTATGGTGACTAACAATCACCTGTAACTCCAGTCCCAGAGGATTTAACATCTTCTGAACTCCATAGGCACTACACACACACACACATGAAACAGACACACATGCAGACAAAACACCCTTGCATAT